AGTCAACACACTTCTAGTCATTGCTTAGATTAAAATAGCTTCAAAAGATAAAAACACTCCCCTGAACTTTGTCAGATAGTTGAAGAAAATGTCAAAAAAGCAGCCGCCCCCCCCCCACACACACACAAAAAAGAAAAGAAAATCAAGATAAGCTCAAGATTACAAGTTCTGCTATTTGTGACCCAAACCAGAAATAAGGGATGACTCAAGACTTTTGCACAGTACTGTAAATGTGAACCAGTCTCTGAAATTAATCTCACTTATCCTGCAGAATAAGAAAAACTGCAGCTAAAATGCTAAGTGCCAATCAAAGCGCTTCTTCCTCTCTGTACCGTCACTGCCCTGCTGTAAAACTCCGCCAGCCCCTCAAAGCCCTCTGGAGCCTGCGGAGGTCCGGGATGCCCCTCAGATCATCGCTGCGTGAGCCGTATAGCTGACAACAGGCCCGAGTCAAAAGCCATTGCCATCRGAGCGCACCAAGTCACCTGGCGTGCTCCAGACAGGCTCCCAGCAGGCCCACTCTGGGCCCACAGTGAGACAGGGCCACGCATTGCAAACAGCCTTCGACAGCGAGTCAAAATACGGAGCAGACACACAGCGGCTCTCCATCACTGAAGCTGCTGGATAAAAGGCCCCTCACTGCCTGGGTGGGGGCCATTTAAAATGTCAGAGACTCTTTAAGTCTTGATTTTACAGAGGGTGTGTGTGTGTGTGTGGTGGGGGGGGGTATGTTTATGAAGTTCTATTAATCCTATATAACTAGAAACTTGTGTCCCAAGAAGATAAAACGGTCTTGCTAAAGGGGGGACCAGTGACAGGGCCACACATTTTCTAGAGGTGGCACCCCCTGTTCCTGCTGCGACAGCACAGACATAAACTTGATCATAACTTTACTTCTTGAAGTAGACGTTGTCCTCCTCCCAGAACCAGGTGTAGGTCAGGTTCCCAGGATACGCCTCTGCTTGGCAGGTGAAGAGTGCATTCTGAGATATGTTTACCGTCACGTTTTCAGGTGGTGACACGATGTATGGAGGCCCTGAAAGAAGCACAAAGTGGGAGTTTCTGGTTAATCTACAGCTTTTTACAATTCAAAATGGGCTTTAGCCAAACTTTGGCTGCATTAGACAGAATCAAGCTTTAAATGAACAAATTACCTGACTTTGTACATTCAACACTAGAAATATTATTTATAAAATATATTTTTGTTTTTTCAGGCCACTGGAGGAGTCTGGTTTTCACTGACTTTATCATCGTCATTTGGTTCCAGCTGCACCTATTAAGACTAAATTTGGCTTTTTAGTTTCTATACATTCAAATTTACTATATTTAGTTTTACTATGGTACAAGCGAAAATAAATAATACAAGGTTTGCATTATAAAACCAAAACCTCAGGTGGGCTGGGTGCAGCTGCAGGGAACAGTGATACTGGTATCACTGTGGTAGTTTTGGAAAAACTTCAATTTATTATTATTATTATTATTATTATTATTATTATTATTATTATT